CTCAAAAAATAAATGAATATAACAATTTCCAGTGATCTCTGACTACCCATTGTGTTCTAGTGTTTTGTGCCCAAGTTTTGGTAAACTGGGAGTTCCCTGATGGTGAGGATCATGTCTGATTCATCTCTGTCTTCCACAGTGCCTGACATGGTGCCTGTCACTTTGTAGGCCCTCATAGGATGCACACTGTGTACTCCAGGGACCATGGGAAGGATGTTAAGAAGTCTTAGTATCCTCAGTCTTATCTCTGTGACACTGCTGACAGTTCAGCACTCCCTCCAGTCCACAGCTGTGTGAAGACAGGGTGCCTGTACCCCATCTTCTGAGGAGTATGTTCCTGCATAGAGTCCCACCTTATGATGTCCACAATGATGAATGTGCACTTATTAGCCTCTAACTGTATGCTGTGCCCCCTATCTCAGCCACTGAGCCAAGTATAAGTCCAACACATGTTCTAGGAAAAGGCCCATCCCAGAGCTGGCATAAAAAAAAAAAAAAAAGCCACCTGGAAAACTGAAAACAGAGAACATAGAAAATTCACTCACACTCCCACCCTGCAACCATTAGCATTTTGTAAGTTCCTTCTGGATTCTGTGTGTGTTACATTACAGTTAGAATCATCATATGCATACTGCTCATTTTCTCTTCTGTTCTCTTCTTTCCGGCCAACTCAATGGAACATAGGTTAGTAGTTAAGCACACAGGCCCCAGAGCTTGATTCCCTGAATTCACATCCTGGCTCTGTTATATGATCTTGTACAATTCAGCAAACCATACCTTATTTTCCCAATCTGTAAAATGAGGATAGCAATAATGAGGATTAAATAATTAACTGTCTTCATGTTAAGACATATAAAGTACTTGGAACAATATCTGATGTTAGTGACCAGCTTCACAGCATTTTCCAGCTGCTGCATAATATTCATGATGACCATTTTTGATAGCTATAAAAGAGTCTACTGTGTCTACACTGGCTGCTTTGCTTAATCATTACTCCTTTGTTAGATGTGTAGGTTATTTCCAGCCATTCTGTATTATAAATAACACGGTCAAAAAAATAAAATAAAAATAAATAAATAAATAACACTGTCATAAATATCCTAATATATACATTTTGGATTTTTCCATATATAGATTCTCAAAAGAAGAAGCATAAGGTCAAAGGGCAAAAATATTTAATGCCTTTGCTCTGGATGGAGAACAGTTCTCCAAAAAGATTGCAACACTTTAAAATACAAAGTATACTGGAACATTTTACTTTTCATTCCTCCCTCACTAGCCCTAGATGGCAACATGTTTTTTAAAAAATTATGCAAATTTAGTAAGCCATAAATAGTCCTACTTTAATTTCCTTTTGTTTTGCTTTGGTTTCACCATTGTGGGGGCTTAGCGTTGCTGATTGTGATTACTTTATTGTGAACTCTCTGTATCAGAGTCTATACCACTTGCTTTAACAGGGCAAGTAGTAGAGACTTAACATTTTTTTTAAAGTTGTCTATTAAAGAATTCAAAAGACAAAAAGAAACAAACACTAAGGGTCTGCTACGACTCCTGAGGCTAAGGGAACAAAGGAAAGACGGGGTGGTAGTTGGCGGTATTGGTGTCACTGAGTGGCATGCCATGAGGCTAGTTCTCTCAGTGATGGCCAAACTGCAACCTGGGTTCAACTGCTGCTTCAAGAACAAACTAATGCTGTGGAGTTGAAGAACTAAGGCTGTGGGGCTGCCAGATGTAGCAAAACCAAAATGCAAGATACCCAGTTAAATTTCAGTGTTAGAAACAAATAATTTTTAGTGTATTTATGCTAATATTGCATAGGACATACTAAAAAAACTTACTGTTTATCTAAAATTCAAATTTTACAACGTGTCCTACATTTTACCTTACAATCCCAACAAGACAGATGATGCAAAGCACATTATCCCCCTCGACTAGCCTTTGTCTCCCTCTAGCACCTACTGTTGGTGCCCAGCATAGAGCAAGTTGGCAAAGCAGAAAAGTGGTTTGCAGACAAAGCAGTGTAAAGAGGCTGAGAAACACCTACCCAGTAATTGGTACAGTCCACCTTTCTGGCTACTCAGCATCCATATACAATATCTGGCACGTGTACTTCCACACAACAAAAACAACTCTGGCCGGGCGTGGTGGCTCACACCTGTAATCCTAGCACTTTGGGAGGCCACGGCAGGCAGATCACCTGAAGTCAGGTCATGGAGACCGGCCTGGCCAACATGGTGAAACCCTGTCTCTACTAAAAATACAAAAAAAAAAAAAAATTAGCTTGGCATGGTAGTGGGTGCCTGTAATTCCAGCCACTCGGGAGGCTGAGGCAGGAGAATTGCTTGAACCCAGAAGGCAGAGGTTGCAGTGAGCCGAGATCATGCCACTGCATCCACCCTGGGTGACAGAATGAGATTCTATCTAAAAAAAAAAAACAAAAACAAAAAACACTCTAACAAAATGCCTGGCAACATTCAACTATCTTTGTAACAAATGAAGACATTCTCACCTCCCCAAAATGGGGATAGATGATGTCTCAACAATCAATTTAGTCATCTCTGGAATAGTCATGCTATCTACCCTCTAAGCAGGATTAATAGCTCATAAAATTCAGTCATATTTGAAAACTCTATTATCTAAAGACTAACGTGTGGAATTAACCTCCAACAGAACTTTTATAAAATAATTAGGAGGAGAAGGGAGAAGCAATTAGCTCATGCATACCATCATATATAGTTACATCATGATCAAGGAAGAAAAATATGCATGGCTGCTACAGTCCTTGTTTCTATAACCAGTCATGGTGCCAAAGATGATTTTTATAAATTTCTTCCTCAACCTTCCATTCCATGTTTTCTCGTCCTCAGACAGGACCTCGGGTGGCTGGGATTCTTTAACCAGTAGGGTGACCCAAACCTTCATTTCTGAAGGATCTGAATCCTCCATAGTCCTGAATCTCCTTAGTTGCAATAATATTTATTAATATATACTATTGAGCATGGAAATATGAAGATACCCCTCTAGAAGACTCCCCTAGACTTCAGAAATAGTCCACACTGTCCCTTTGATTATCAGGATGAATCATAACAGCTGGAAAAGTAATCCCCTTCTTTGCCCACTGTCTTAGTGGCATGAAGAGCCCCAGCTAGCCAGGGAGCTGTTTTAACTCCAAATTCAATTCAATAAAATCATGTTGTAAATCCTAATGGAAGTATTTCCTTCTTGGCAACTAAGACCTCCAATCCAGTAGAGCACAAAATTAAAGAGACAGGAGGCAAAAATTCTGTACATGGGTTATTAGGTGAAATGGTGAAAGTAGCCACTCCCATTTCCATCCCACAATTTCTAGACCCATGCATTTTGGCTATGAGAGAAAAACACAATGTCTTGTTTGCTAAGTTATCATACATTGCATCCCATAAAACAGAAGCTCATTATCTCCATGGGGTGTTACTTCAACGTAAGTCTTAAGACTTCAGTAGGCCATTCTACTGATCTATGAGGCCAGCTGCTCCTGAGTGTTTGAGTACATATTAAGACTAGTGAATTTCATGGGCATGAGCATATTGCTGCCCATCTTTTACTGTGAAGTAATGTCCTTGATTAAAAGCCTTGCTGTCGGCAATATATCTGGATGGTGAATAGGTATTCCAAACATCTACAGATGATGGTGCTGGCAGCAGTATTATAGACAAGGAAAGAAATCCATAACCAGAATGTGTATCTGCTCCAGTGAGGACAGATTTCTTTCCTGTCTATGATGGAAGTAGTCCAGTGTAATCATCCTGCCACCAGGTAGATGGTCCCCCCAGGGAATAGTGCCCATCAGGAGCTCAGCATTGTTCTCTGTGATTGACAGGTTAATCATTCAGCAGTAACAGTAACAGACCAACTGGGTAAGAGGAAGCCCATGCATAGCCTCCATCCTTAACCACCATGGCTGTTTTATGCATAAGTCCATGAGGCAAACCCTGGGTGACTGGAGAAGATGCTGTCTAATATACACAGGTCATGCCATTTTGTCCACCTGATTACTGAAAGACTGTTTTCCTCGTGTCCTTTGAGAAACTCTCACACAGGGCACAAAGATCCTTTTACTCTGTACCTATCCCAAGAGGTCCATCCACCTACCTTTTCCCCAGACCTCCTAATCACCAGTCTTACTATTTGTTCTTTCAAAGTCCCTGACCATCCAGCTAACCATTAGCAACTACTCATGAATCAGTGTAGTGCTAACCATCTCTTAAACCAAAGTACACAACTAAATTTATCACTTGAAATCATGTCCATTGTCCCTCATTCTTATCTTCGAAAGCTACGTTTTATTGGGGCTGCCACTTTTATTGTGAGGATGCCACTTTAAACAGCTTGTAAACCAAGCCCAGGTTTTTTCTCCTTGGTAAGCTGCTCTTAAGGAATCCCCAGGGAAGCCTTAGATGCAGATTCAGGGAGAAGAAGTCATGTAGCAGTGGCTCAAATGAATCTGAGCCACCTGCTTGTGAAACTTACTTGTCCCTTCCACACATACTCAAGCCATTTGATGATGGTGTGCAACTAGACACACTCAACCTTATGACTTGGTAGATAAGGTGGGCGGCTTAGGCCACATGATCATTTAATGCCCCATGGTCAGGTTGTGTTCTCATTTTTTTAAATGTTTTTATCCACTTAGCCCTTATATCATTCTATGAGGCTCATACTTCCTTTTGTCGTCCATTATATTTATCCTTGTCATTTTCTTTATGAATGATGGTGGTAGCAGCATCTGGCTATCTGATCCCATCACATGGGGTCAAGTAACAAACCAGGAGCTGTTTCTCAACTACAACAACAAAAATGTTATCTCCAAAAGAGAGCATGGATTTGCACCAAAACTGCAAGGCACAAGAGCTAAGAAAAATTGCCTGTTCCTCCCTAGGTCCAAGGTGTGGGGAAGTCTGCCAAGGGTCTTCTCTTGGGGGCCTGTGGCCAGAGGCTGATCTCAGGCCACTCTGTTTCAGGCACAGCCTCCGTTGCTGTGGCAGGGATCCTGGCTGCTCTGCGAATCACCAAGAACAAGCTCTCCAGTCACGTGTTTGTTTTCCAAGGTGCAGGCGAGGTATGTGCCGTTAAGAGTTTCTTTTGTGGTTCCAGGAGGAAAATAAGAATGGGTGGAAGCATAACAGAAAGCGAAACATTCTGGGGTTCTGAAAAGAGGAAGCAGCACAAACATATTGTGATCATTGCAAGCTGCCTGCATTTGGTAGGCTCCAACATTTGGGTGTCTCAAGGCAGGAACTTAATTAGGCCTCCTGGGAGTCGTGGAGGTGGGGAAAAGAAGAGGGACTCATTACGGTGAGACATCAGATAAATGTTCAGCAGCTATTTGCCCTGTGTCTGAACATCCACCCTATGGTACCTTCCAGGCAGCCATGGGCATTGCCCACCTCCTTGTCATGGCCCTAGAGAAAGAAGGTGTACCGAAAGCAGAGGCCACAAGAAAGATCTGGATGGTGGACTCTAAGGGGCTCATTGTCAAGGTACTGTCAGTCTGGAGACCTGGAGGTTTCCTGACACCTACAGCTCCCAGAAACTGGACTGGAAGAGGTCTCCAAGAAGTAAACTGCTCAAACAGAATACAGAGCAAAACAAGGGCAATTGCCTAAGTTCTAAAGCAAAAGATTCATTCCAAAGTAGCTTTAATTGCTTCTGTCCAAAAATTTGTGTAAGTGGGTAGATGTGTGCCCCTTCTAGTCTTGAACCCCACCACTTCCTGACTTACACTAGCCTCCAGCCACATTAAATCACAGTTTCCAAGAGCAACCTGCTCTGTCTTCCACGTCTTTACACATCTTGTTCTTCTGCCTGAAGGGCCCTTCTCCCTTTTTCCACAGGCCAACTCTCAACCTTAGCCTCTTCCCAGTTTCTTACTTATCTTCTGATAGTACTTAAATGTTACCTCCTCCAAAAAGCTTATTTCCTGCATTTATGCTCCATACATTGTACTTACCACACTGTAGAGAAGCTGTCCCTTTACTGTCTCCCCACTAGGCTACAGAGTCTTCATATCAATGCCTGGCACATGGTAAGTGCATAAGTAATGTGTGAGGTGTGAGTGAAAGAATGAATGAGAGAGAAACAGGCCAGCTTCTGGCTAGCATGTGGTAAGAGACACAACTGAAGGATCCCTCCCTTAGGGCTACACTCAGTGCTTTAATTCCCAGAATTTCACTAACATAGATTTTCAGTGTGAGATGAAAAATTATGGCAACAATGGTAACAGGGGAAGTACCTAGGGACATTGACCAAGAATGGCAGAGATTCTCAGCAGAAACTGACCTATTTGACCCTTCCTATTGTTCCATATGGGGCAAGATTTCTGCTGGAAGGAACTCAGCCCTCTTCCTACCCCCATGTCTTTCCAGAGCATAACCTGGCCACAGGTGCAGGTTGCCAGAGACTGCCATTCTCCCCTCCTCTCCATCTTTCAACATCATGTTTCTCACTCCCTCAAGCTCAACCCTAGCCAAGGAGCTCTCAAAGCTGACATCTTCGCACTGGCTCCCATGAAGCCAGCTAACCCAAAGGAATCAACAAAAGCATCTGAACCCATATACCAGCACTATGCCAGCCTGTCACCCACCAACTTCCTTTTGAAGAAATGTAAGGAACTGTAGCTGGTTAGGCATGGCTAATCATTATATAAGACCTTCTTGGAGCTTAGTTTAGTATTATTCACAGTGAGATTAATGGCTCTTATAAGCACATTCACATTAACTCCCTGACCCTGGGTGGCACAGGTCTCCATCCCTCAACTGAGTCTGGGTGCTGGATGCCTTAGGGCAAAGGGTCTTGGTGAGACTCAGGCATTGCCTGAGAGCCTTTCTGTCCTGGCCCAGGAAGCCATAATCCTAACAGCTCAAAGAAATTATTTATGGATTCTCCATATGTGGTTTGGGTTAAAGAAACATGCACACACGTGCACACACACACACCCTACACCCCCTCTCACACAAGCTTAAGTCCCACCATAGGTTCTTCCAGGAAATGTTGTCAAGAGTATGAGCCCCAAAACTTCTGACAGCTCAGAACAAACCGTGGGGCTCAGCAGGAAACGCTCTTAGAGTTTCCAAATGCATCTGTACTCCTGCCCAACAGGCCATCACCACCACAGCTGCTCTGTGTTCCTTTGCCTATAGGGGAGGAGCCACCTGAACCATGAAAAGGAGATGTTTGCCCAAGACCATCCTGAAGTGAACTCCCTGGAGGAGGTGGTGAGGCTGGTGAAGCCCACAGCCATCATAGGTAAGAGGAGGGAGGGTGCCCAGCCCAGCTAACCCTCTTGACTTGCAGATGCAGAGACAGAGGCTCAGCCAGAAAGCCTAAGTAACCCATGGAAACAGCTTTTTCCCCTATCCTATGCACAATTCAATGCTACAAACTTTTATTGAGTGAGTGCTGTATAAAAAAAACCATAGAACTAAGGTGCCAGAGCTAGGGCTCACTGACGCAGAAATATACAATGCAGTAAAAAAGTGCAGGGCTGGTCTCTTGAACCACAATGAGATAAGCACTCCTCTTCCAAGGCAGACCCTGGTATCTCCCTGTGTACTGAGGGAGCAGCTCACTCTCCATGGAAATGCCCAGGAATGCCTTCACAGGAGCAGCTTAATTGGCAGGGACCTGAGATGGACCAATGGTCCCTTAGAGATAAACAGGAGGTCTCAGGTAGCTCAAGTAGGATGATCCTTTTCCCTCTGCTCCCTCAGTCCTTGTGGCAGATGCCGGGCCCAAGACCAAGTCTTTTATGGTGTTCCTAATTCCCCTACTACCACCAGCGGGAGAGGAATGGGTTGTTTATGTAAAGAGTAGGCATCCGCACTACCCCCCTTTTCCCTGTAGGTGTTGCTGCCATCGCAGGAGCCTTCACGGAGCAGATTCTGAGGGACATGGCCTCCTTCCACGAGCGCCCTATCATCTTTGCCCTGAGCAACCCCACCAGCAAGGCCGAGTGCACGGCTGAGAAGTGCTACCGGGTCACTGAGGTCAGCGGGGAGTCCTTCCTTCCCCCAGCTGAGAGGACATAGTAAAATTACTATGAGAAACCCCATGAGGGTGAAAACATATTCCTACATTGCTGATGAACAAACTAACTTCAGAAAGATGAGTAACATGGCCAAGGTCACAGAGCTAATAAGGAATGGAGCTGGCTGTCAAACCCAGGTCTGACTCCAAAGCCCAAGCTCTTACCTGTGTGCTTTGCTGCTCAAGGTTCACACTAAATAACATAGAGCTTTGACCAGAACCCAGAACCTGAGGCACCTGTAGGCTCTAGGCCACGTCCTGTCATGTCCTGGGTTGGCCCTCCCAGGAGGTGACAAAAATAGCACTGTGAAATCCATCACCTTTCAGCAGTTTCTTGGCTGCTAGGTAACAGGTGAGGACTGAGCTTTCTGGTCAAATGAACAAATGTGCTTTAAGTAACTGCTATGTTCTCAGCACAGTGCTGGGCATTTGGGAGAGAATGAAGAAGAGTCCAACATGTGGATAATAAGAATAGGCCACTATTATTGCCCCAAACCAGCTCCAAGTTCATCTCTGGTTTTCTTCCTGCCTCCAGGGCCGAGGGATTTTTGCCAGTGGAAGTCCTTTTAAGAGTGTGACTCTAGAAGATGGCAAGACCTTCATTCCTGGTCAGGGAAACAATGCTTATGTGTTCCCTGGGGTGGCACTAGGAGTCATCGCTGGCGGGATCCGGCACATTCCAGATGAGATCTTCCTCCTGACAGCAGAGGTATCACTGTCCCTGCTCCCTCAAATGCTTACAGTAGGGTCTATGGGTTGACACCGGGTCCTATGCCTGATCTCTCTCATCATTTCTTCCCATCTACCCCAATGTTGCCAGTGGATTCCCAAAGTACTTAAACCTCAAGCATCTCTCATGGCCACCTTGAGGCCTGATCTCTTCAATCACACATGGGACTTTTGAGGGAGAATGGGGAATAGTGGCAGAGGGTATTAGCAACAGACATTGACAGGGAGGAGACATGCCTCATACTGCCTTCTGCCTTCTAGCAATGCCATCTGGATGCCTAGACAGGTGAGATGCCATCATAGTCACCTGAAACTGAGGGCTTGTGGACCATGATAGATGATGGATTCTTCCAGCCACAGGCCTTGGCCAAATCACTGCAGTAACTGGTGGTAGTCAGCCCCACTAGGACAGCTTTCTGTAAGGGAGGGGAGTGTCATACCTGGTTTGTCCCCTTGGAGGACCCAGATCTTCAGCACTGATAGGTGTTGGAGATGTACCTATTCCAGGTATCTTACTAGAAAAGCACACAAGAGTTCTTTAATAGAGACATGATGAAAACCATGAATCAGTTCATTAAGAATGACAGCCTGTTCACACTAATGGTTATTGATAACAGTTAAAGTGGCTGAAATTACCAGATGGTTACCAAGTACCAGGCACCTGACATTTATTCTCCCTCTGACAAAACCAAGGCACAGAAATGTCTGTGTTGGGAGGTTAAGCTAATCAAAGCCATATAAAAATATGAAACATACTTACACCCAACAAGCTCCAAAGGCTCTCCTGTGACTTCTAACATCCTTCTGCATTTCCTTCTCACTGAGGCGCTAGTGAGAGCCTGAAATCAATGAGACATGGGTATGGCTTCCACGCAGCCCTGTCTGGATCCACTTCTGTGAGTCCCACAGGTGACTACCTCATGCACCAGGTCTCTTCTTATTATGTCCAGTCTTTGAGTCTTGGCTCTCCAAGACTGTGCAAATAATGTCTCCCAAAGGCTTTTCAGCTGTCCCCAGCCCTGTGCATACTACTTATGATTTTGTGTCACAGTTCTCTGTTCCTCTTGTCTTGAGTATTCTGTTTGTCTTTCTTCTCATTGCTATGGTGGGTGTTCTTGTCCTGTAGCTATGGGCAGAGCTGTGTGAAGTTCCCATTGGATGGAAAGAGTTACTTTTTGCTTGAAATCAGCCTGAAAGCCAAGTCCCCTGTTGAGCAGAAACACAACTGCTAGAGTCCTTCCTATGTAATCCCGTGAGACATCCACACATCTGCCCCACCACCTGCAGTGCTGTGAGGCAGTTCAGTTCCATCATTTCATGAACAGTGTCCATCACTTACACAGGAACCTCTCCTGGATCTACTTATTAAGCTTCTGCTGTGAGCAAGATAAGGCCCCTCCCCTACAGGAGCTCATATCATGGTCTTCAAAGGCATGGCAGGTTATATTTCTGAAAAGGGTTCTTTTAGTGAAGATAATCTCAGTTGAATTCGATTTTCCTATGGAAAATTAAAATAGGTTTTAAGGAGATGTGCATGTACTACCCCATTTCATTGTAACAACTCTGTAAAACAGGTAAAGTTCTTACTCATCTATGAGTTTCAGTCACTAGCCCAAGGTCACTGTTCCTGTGAGCCCAGGATGGCCCAGGACAACTTGACTCCCTGTTGAAGAGCATTGCCAGTGCCCACCATCTTAGAAGTGATCACAGACATATCTCTTCTCAAGGTAACTTTTTTCTTTTGAGATGTAGTCTTGCTCTGTCTCCCAAGCTGGAGTGTAGTGGTGCAACCTTGGCTCACTGCAACATCTGCCTCTTGGGTTCAAGCGATTCTCTTGCCTCAGGCTTCTGAGTAGCTGGGATTACAGATGCCCACCACCACACCGGCTAATTTTTGTATTTTTAGTAGAGGGAGGATTTCATCATCTTGACCAGGCTGGTCTTGAACTCCTGACCTCATGATCTACCCACTTCAGCCTCCCAAAGTGCTGGGATTACAGGCCTGAGCCACTGCGCCCGGCCAGGATAACTTCTGTAGACGCACTAGCCATGGAAATCTTGCTGCTCTCATTTCAATCCTTCTATACCTTCACAAAGAGAATCCTTTGAAACAGATCAGGCCAAGTCTCTCCTCTAATTTCAGACCTTTGTGTGCCTCCTTAGTGCATACAGGATAAAGTCCAAACTCCTACCCATGTTTTCCATACAAGGAACTTTATCACCAGGCCCTCCTTTCCTCTCCAACCTCACTTTTGATGTCTCCCTACCATTGATCTATCCAGTGTGCTGTTTTCAGTCTCGTACTCATGTTCTCTCTCACCTTCCAGCATTTACAGATACCATTCTCTCTCCCCTAATTCATGCTTTGTCCTTCAGATATCATCCTGTGACACTCTGGGAAGCCTTTCCTATACCTGGTAGACAGGATCCTGTCATCCTCCATGCCTCTATGCCCCCTCTCACTGCATTCACCCACTATAATGCTATAATCATTTGTTACTTGTCCACTCACACCAGTCTCCATAAGGGAAAAGACGATGGCTTCTTCACCATAGAATCCTTCCTTATATGGCTCCTCAGCACCTAGCACAGAGCCTGGAGACTAAAAGTGAGGCTAAAGAGGAAAGGAGGGCCCAGTGATGAAGTGCCTTGTATGGAAAGGAGTTTGAAGGAGCCATACAAAAGTCTGAAATGAGGAGACAGCCTTGGCCTGCTCTACGTTTTGAAAGATATAGTAGAGCTCAGTTAATGTTTGACTGAATGAATGGAAAAGAAAGATGGAAGTGTAAGAAGGAGGTAGAGGGGGAAGCGCATTCCCCTTATATCTAAAAACACTGAGGCATGATAAACTTCTTAGCCTCATCACTTCTAAGACACACAGTTCTCAGAGAGCACCAGTGGCATTTCCCAAGTTTAAATTTAATACCAGAAGACTGGGTGGGAGTAGATTTAGAGCCACCACATTAAAGAGGCTGATTTGCAAGGCTGACCAAGCTCCAGCATCTGAGACCGGGGGATGAGGGCCTGTGGCAGATGAGGCTTAACCCTCAGAGGCAAAGTCTGAACCTGGAAGGGAAGTAATGGGAGGCTCTGTTCTCAGGATGATGTGCTTAGGACGTTTATTCAAATAAGGTATAAGACTCAGTCACTCACAGAGGAGAGGCCTTCCTCAGACTGAGACCAGGGCTGAAAGGAAGCGCTCCAGGAGCCTGAACACAAACACATAACATAGCCTAGATGGTCACCCAAGATGGGACCAAGCATGTAGAAGAAGGCTGAAACCCAGGATGTGAGAGACCCAGGAATCCCTGTGCAACAGGCTGGATCAGCCAAGAGGAGATCTCATAGCCTTTTCTTTGCAGACCATACATTTATTCATCTTGGCTTTAGTCATTTTCCTTTGGAATTCAGAAATACTTATGTTGTTTTAAGCCCCAGTCAGTCTTACAGTACAGAAAGGATGTGTCTTTTCTTAAGCCCAAGCATTAAGCTCCCCTGGTGACAGAGTCAACAGTTGGAACTGCAGTGTTTGACTAACTATGCAGGGTGGGGTGAGTCTCTGGGGTAATGGGTTGGGCTTGTTTTGGGAAAGTGGAGACTCAGCTTATTCCTCTCGGTTCTCTCCTTCTCCCCAGCAAATTGCACAGGAAGTCTCTGAGCAGCATCTGTCCCAGGGGAGACTGTACCCACCACTCAGTACCATCCGAGATGTGTCTCTGAGAATTGCCATCAAAGTAAGGGGCGTCCTACCCCTGTAATATGGGTAGTGAGGCTCAACCACTTTCTCTGTCTGTCACTTTAGGAGGGCTAAGGGGATGGAAACTGTGGAGACATTTGAGCTTCTTGAGCTGCACTACATGCAACTCAGAGGCTGAGTGACCAACTCCTGCTTGCAGCTTGAGCTCCACCCCAAACACCCACCCAGGCCAGTTCTGGGAAAGTTCCTGGATTTCCCCTCATACACCAAGCAGAAAGGTCATCAAAGTCCATGGACCAGAATGTGGGAATTTTTTAGAAATGAATCATAAGCACACAATTATAAGAAAGGTCAGCTTGCATAGCATCATGGAAAAAGCTCAGGCTTTGGGGTCCCAGCTCTGCCAATCAGCAATGGTGTAACATTGGCCCAATCACTTCACTTACCTGAGCTTCAGTTCTCTCCTTCTTCAAAAGGCCAGTAGTTTCTCTCTCCCAGAGTTCTGGAGATTAGCAGAGAACAGTGAAAACGCTCTATACCCAGTCCTCTCCTGCCAGAGTAAACCTCTTTCTTCCCCTTTTTCTCAGAATGGCTGGCTATGGGACGATCAGCTTCACGGAATATTTCAGACTATAAGATGGTGCAGAGATAATGGGCTTTCAAAGAATCAGAACATGGGGCAATAAAGACTGGCCTAACATTGATAGTTGTTAAAACTAGATAATAGGTACATGAAGGTTTATCATACTATTATTTCTATTAGTGTGCATGTTTTACATTTTTCTATAAGTTTTAAAAATAATTTCATAAAATGCATTGTCCAACAGCACACACTACCCATGAGTTGTCTGGTATAGAATCCAGAATCAAGCCTCAAGATTAACAGTCTAGCTGATGGTCCAGCTTCACTCTGTCAGTTTCTTCCTTTGGATGATATTTAGATTCACATTCTCCTAAAGCCAAACCTAATACTCAGAGAACAGAGTACAGGCTGTTCATCCAATTTAACCCATATGCATATGGAAAAAAATCAGGTTCTGGACACTTTTGCCTGTTGTCTAATTTTATCTTAATACCGCTCCAGAAAAAGGTCTCCTTACTCCCATTTTACAGACAAGGAAACTGAGGCTCGACAAGGATAATATCATCTCTGAGGACCCACAGGCCTTTGGAAGCAGGCAGAATTTATGCTGAAGCCTCTTGACCCTGGCTCAGTATTTATTCCACCATGTCAAAGCTGCCTGTCCAGGCAGAAAGCTTAAAATCCTTCCTATCCAGTGGTTTCATGAGCCCTACTCCTGAAAGAAACGTGTCTGGTTCCTTACGGTGTATTCCCCTCCCCTAGACTCCCAAACAGGGATCCTTAAGCAGGTTTCCCCTTAGATCCAATTCGTTAGTCAAATCTCTTTTTCCCTAGGTACTTGACTACGCGTACAAACACAACCTGGCCTCCTACTACCCGGAGCCTAAGGACAAGGAGGCTTTTGTAAGATCCCTGGTCTACACTCCAGACTATGACTCCTTTACACTGGATAGTTACAGTTGGCCCAAAGAAGCCATGAATGTTCAGACAGTCTGATGCAGTCTCATGTGCTGGTATGGAGCTGGATGAAACCCAGCATAACACCCACAATATAAATGGGTTCCAAAATGGCCCAACTGAATCCTTGTTGCTGTGTTTTTTTCTTTTAAACTTTCTGGTGTGAGAGGAGATGCCAAGGCATACGTGAATAAAAGCCTTGTCTCTGAAGGCCCTGGGAGTTCATTTTTCTGAACCCTCCTCTGAGTTCCTTCCTAAGCATTTCTTCATCCATTAATTACCAACTACTGGCCAGGCCTTGTGGGAAATGCAGAATTTTGCCTAGAATCCTGCTTTACAGAGCTCGGGCTCTAGTGAAGGAAATTGGACACAATTCATTTTGCCATGAGGGAGAAAGTGGTAAGTTCATGAAAGAAGAGCAGATAAAAACTGAGGGTGGTCAGAAAAGGGAGAGGACATTTCCTATGAGAACATAAAAGAAGGCTTCAGGGAGAGCAGTGTTTGCACTGAGTCCTGAGAGGAGAAGATGGGTAGGAGTCATGGGGAGATGAGGAATGTGAGCACAGCCACTAGCCAGAAAGCATGGCTCACCCATCAAGGAGTTCAGTCCATGTCAGCAATACACACCCTTCCAGACTCAGCAGTGTGTGAAGGCTGAGTAGCTGGGGGCAGCTCACTAACTATTCAGGAATGGTCACTGCCCTATGGGTTGTTGAGTCTTAGACATTCTTTTTTGTAAAAGGAAAATCAGAGAAATGTGGGTGGGGAGAGTCAGCCTGCCAAGGAGTGAAGAGGAAGAGAGGTGGTGACAGGAAGAGCACCACAGAGACTTGATTTCATTTTCCTGGCTCTGGAACACACTCTGGCTTCCATCCTTCACTCTCTGAAGTAGCTGAGCAACCCAAAGCTGTTTTTTATACAGTAATATCAGTCCATCCTGGGTGTTTCTTAGATCAAGTTCAGTGCTAGCCTTCATCTCCCTCATGAAAAGCACAGCCTATACACAGGAGTAGCGGCGGGGAGAGAGCTTGCAGCCCCCTGAAATTAGATACTGCTAAGATGTTAAGATATGTTGAGATGACAGCTTCCAGCCTCTAATTTTATTGTATAATAAAGGAAACAATAAATCATGCTTAGAGCCCTACTCCTGCTACCACCTCAGCCTCAGGATCTCCTCTGCCCGCAACGAATAAGTTCTATACGGCCAACTCTCAAGGACAGACTAGATGGACTACTGGACTTGCAGAAGAGTAATTAGCAGAGGCACCACTTACCTCTTGCTCAGGTCTTATTCTTCCAAGAACTGCTTCCTCAGTGCTGGTGATCAGCCAAGAATATCCTGAGAAAACATCTCTCCTGTATGATTCTTGGGATCATAAAGAATGAAAAACTATTCAGAAGAAAGTTTGAAGAGTGAAGCTGGAATCTGAACACCATGGAACTTTTGGCACTATCTTTTTATATCATGTCCCACAACTTCCTCTGTACCCCTGCTACATATCCTTCATAATCAACATAGCAGAAAAGAAAAATCATAGTAGAGAAAATCAATGAAAGAAAAATAGTTTCTTTGGAAAGATCTAATAAATTAACAAACTTTAGCTATACTAATTAAGACAAAAAGAAAGAAGATACAAATTACACTTCCTTTGTTCCAGTTACACTGAACATCTTGCCAGCACTAAGCACATGTGCTTTCAAGCCTATCCTGGTATTATACATGCTTGGTCTCTACTCCTGGGAAGTCCTTGTCTTCCCTTTTTTTTCTCTTTACTGATTAAATTTTAGTTCACTGTAGCTTTCTGCCTGGAAATAGCATTCATCCTTGTATTTCATATGCATTTGGCTCCATAGAGTAACAAAATTAACAATGAGAAATCAATAAACAGAAAAGTATGGGAAATTCCAAAATATTGGAAAACGGTACCTTTCAAAATAACCCATAGATCAAAGAAGAAATCACAAGTCAAATTATATATGTTGAACTGATTTTTAAAAAGCTTATCAAAATTAACAATATGTAGCTAAAGCAGTATTTACAGAGAAACTTTATAGCTTTAAATGCTGTCATGCTTAATCTTATGGCACTACAGGGTGCCCAGATATTTGATCAAATGTTATTCTGGGTGTTTCTGTGAGAGTATTTTTAGAGGCAATGAATATTTGAATCACTAAACTGAGTAGATTGTCCTCCACTAATTGCCCTCATCCAATTAGTTGAAGGTCTAAATACAAAAAACAGACAGACCCTCCCTTGAGTAAGAGAGACTTATTCCTACCTGATGCCCTTCTAACTGGGATATTGGCTTTTTCCTGCCTTCAGACAGGAACTACATCCAGCTTGCTGACTCACCCTATAGATATACACCTTAGAATTTGACAGCTTCCATAATCATGTGAGCCACACCAAGTCCTTATAATAAATCAACAGAAAGAGAGAAAGATCCTATTGGTTCTGCTTCTCTGCAGTACCCTGACTAATGCAAATTCCTGTATCAGAAGAGAAAGACAAAGAGAAAGGAAGGAAGAAAAGTCTCAAGTCAATAATTTAAACTTCCTTCTTAAGAAACTGAGGGTGGAGGGAAGCAAGCAAAATTCAAAGCAAGCAAATATTAGAGCACAAATCAATATACCTATAGTAAGGAAATTAGTAATTTAAAAATCTTTCCCCCAAGAAAAGCCATGTCTAGATAACTTCATTGGTTGGAATTTATCAAATAGGTGAAAATGAATATATATGAATAGATACATGTGACGGAATATTATACAGCCATGAAAAAGGAATAAAATCATGGTGTTTTACAGCAACATAAATGGAACTGGAGGCACTTAAGTGAAACTCAGAAACAGAAAGTGAAATGCCATATGTTCTCATAACTGGAGCTAAATAATGTGTACACATGAACAAAGAATGTGGAATCTCACTGGAGACCTGGAAGGGTGGGAGGGTGGAAGGAGAGCGAGGGATGAGAATTTACTGAATGGGTAAAATGTACACTATTTGGGTAATGATTACACTAAAAGCCCATACTTCACCACTATGCAATATATCCATGTGACAAAACTTCACCTGTACACCTTAAATTTATACCAAAAAAAGACTGTGCGGTCATATAAATAAATGAAGCAGAATTGAGAGTTCATAGTAAGTTTTTACATTTATGGTTAAGCTGACTTTTAGTCAAAGTTACTAAGGTAATTCATTGGGAGAAAGAAAGTCTTTTGAACAATGGTGCTGAAACAACTGAATATCCACATGCAAAAAAAAAATAATGAACTTACCTCACACTAAACACAAAAATTAACCTTTAGACATCTCACACCAAACAACAATTAACCTGAAATAGATCACAGACCTAAATGTGAGCGCTGAAACTGTTTAAAATTTCTAGGACAAAGTATAGCAGAAAATCTTTGTGACTTAGGTTGAGGTGAGTTCTGAGATATAACTTTAAAAGCGTGATTCATAAAAGGAAAAAACTGTACTCTGTACTTCATCAGAATTGAAAAATTTTGTACTTTGAAACACACTATTGGGGACAAAAAGACAAGCAGCAGACTTGGGGGAAATAAATCATATATCTGATAAAGACATTGGATCCAGAATATATAAAGAACTACTTCAACTTAATAAGATAACTCAAATTTTAAAATGAGCAAAAAAATGAACATTTTACCAAAAAGATGTGTGAATGGCTAACAAGCACATGAAAAAATGCTTAACATTATTAGCAATATGAAAATTAAAACCACAATGGGATAACACTTCACACTCACCAGAATGGCTATAATTTTTAAAAAAAGATGTGTTGGTACGAATGTGGAGAACTTTGTTTCCTAGGGACTGTTAGATTAAGGGAGAGTTCCCTTGCCTTTTAAGTTTTCACTCTAACTCCCCAGGCTCCCATACACAGCCCCAGTATTCAGCAAGTGTCATTTAAGAGAGTGGATGTTGTGGTTGCACCACCTAGATCCTGCCTCGGGTCTGATACACTCATTCCTCCAGATGCCATTATCAGCTCAGGGCCCACAGCTGCATCCCTCTCTAGGAATTGCCCTTGACTGAAGGTGAATGCTTCACCCAAGATTATGCCATCATCCCCAGGGGAAGCCTACAGGCAATGACTGGTATATTCAAGAGCCCAAAGGCCCAGCTCCCCAGTGTCAATTGAGAACATCTCTTAATAGCCACCCCATCCTCAGAGCTCCCTATGAGACTGGCTGAGGCTACTGTTGCAACTAATGTGTATCACCATTCAACTTCTTATGCCCTATCCTGTTTCTCTTGCTCCCTCATAGGTGTTGTTCCCTGAGAAGACTTCCCAGTAATCCTTTGGATGTAAATCTCAGATTCAGTGTCTGTTTCCTGGGGAACTGAACTTCTTTTTTTTTTTTTTTCACTTAATAAATCATTTATTTGTAAATCAATACATGTGTACTATACAGAACCTAAGAATTTAGATAATTTTAATAACCCATAAACATGTTGCAGATTTAAATTTTGTATAAATAGCAGTCATTGCATACATATATCTTATGTGTACTTTGTTTATAATCACATTTATGCTACACTCCTCAGGAAAAAAAAAACAGATTCTACTTGGTTCAACTTCAAATAAGGCTTTGAGAAACTCCAAAGGTAAAGTACTAATCCCTTTGGCCACTGGTTTCATAAGTCAATGTGTGGGTTTGTTTCTTTTTAAGCAATAATGTAACAATGTACCATTAATAAAACTGCTGTGCAAAATTATCCCTGCGGCCTATTTTAAGCTTACAGTTCAGTTGATTGTATTGTAAGTATCTATAAATCACATACGGGAGAAAAACACTAAACCAGATAGTTATTTTCACTATTTTGCTTAAGATTCATATTTAAATATAAATCAAGAAGTTAATCTACACAGTGTGATACTTTTTACATTACAAATGTTTTATAAAATTTTAAACTGATACATAATTGTAAATATTTATGGCACATGTACTGTTTCAGGTACAATGTGTATCGATCAAATCAGTGCAATTAGCACACCCATCAACTCAAACATTTATCATTGATTTGTAGCAAGAACATTCAATTATTATAGTCACCCTACTGTGCAATAGGACATCAAAACTTATTCCTCCTAATCTCTGTACCCATTAAAAGTGGTTTTCTAGGCTGGGCGCGGTGGCTCACACCTGTAATCCCAGCACTTTGTGAGGCCAAGACGAGCAGATCACAAGGTCAAGCGATCAAGACCATCCTGGCCAACAGAGTGAAACCCCATCTCTACTAAAATATAAAAATTAGCTGGGCGTGGTTGCACACATCTGTAGTCCCAGCTACTCAGGAGGCTGAGGCAGGAGAACTGCTTGAACCCAGGAGGCAGAGGTTGCAGTGAGCCGAGATCACACCACTGCATTCTAGCCTGGAGCCTGGCAACAGAGCAAGACTGTGTCTCAAAAAAAAGTGGTTTTATGTACAAATACTAGACAGATGTTCTACCCATACATTGTTTTCCAAAATTATTGTGTGGCTTTTTTAAAGAAAACCACACAACAAATTTTAAAAGGCACTGAGATACATCTCCTAGATCACCGCTAGACTTGAAATACAAAGCTTGTTCTACCAGGAATCACGAGGAACTGAACTTTTAACAGGTAGAGGAAACTGGCCAAAGTTCCTAATTTTCCAATTTGTTGCACCAGCCCCATGTGACCACCAAAAGCTTTTCTGGGTTTCTCCTTCCCTCAGGAGAGACCCTCTTCATGGACCAAGCTTGACCCTTATTAGTCCATGTCCAGAATCAGTAAATGTCCCTAGACAATAAAATGGTCACTCACCTCATAAGGGCTCCTCCCTTTCTGGAATTCTCATTCACCTAGTCTTACTGCTTTCAGAACTCTCACATATCTTTAAATATGATCTTTATAATTTTTCCATCTTTTTTTGTTGTTGCAGGAAGAGTTTTAGGTTGCCATGACCTACTACATCCTAGCCAGAAGCAGAAGTCTCTAGAGAGATTTTCAAAATTACAGTTGTATGGATATTAACTTTTTTCCTAACTTAACTGAATTGTGATGAGAGAATGTGTTCTGTATTATTCAAATAGCTTAAAATTTGCTAAAATTTTTTTGTAGTCAAATATATGGTCAAATTCAACAGTTCATATACTCTTAAAAAAATATGTATTCTCACACGGTTGGATGCAATGCCCTTTGTATGTTCATGGAATCAAGTTTGTTGATTGTTTTGTGTAAATCTATATCCAAAGTCTTGATTTTTGTCTACTTGATCTTCTTTTGAAAGAGGGATAATAAAATTTCCCACTGCTCTGGTAAACTTGTCAATTTTCTTTCTAATTCTGTCCATATTTGCTCTATTTGTCTTAGATCAATGTTATTCGATTCATAAAGTTTAGGATTGTTACACCTTCCTGATAAATTCGAACTTTTGAAACTTTAAGTAGTGGCTTTATCTCTAGCAGTGCATTTACTTCTACTTCTACTGATATTAACATAGCTATACTGTCTTAGAAACTCTCCC